TCTTATTGCTACTACTAGCCAAGGATGCCACAACCAATAAGAGTGGTTTTATACGCTTGTAGTAACCACTCTAGCAGATATGATGTATGCCGACGTTATGGTAGATTTGAGGCCTTAGGCTGAGGCTCTTATCCGCTGAAAGTGATCTCCTTATTCACTCAGTCAATTGGTGACCGTAAGCGTGGAGTAGATTCCTATAAGATATAGAGGTCGTATGAGTAGCCACCTCGGCTGGTAGTCGTCGATGGTGAGAGAGTAAGGCTGCTGGTGGTACGTATTACAGAAATCTCTCCATGCATAGCTGCTGTATTACAGCATGCTTGAAGGACTAGAGTTGTTACGTTCTTCAGGATAAACGTGTGAAGGACTCGTCCGTTAACCTCCCAACAGGCCGTCCGGCCCTCTACAAGGCAGTGCCGTGTATACGCCTGTCTGTGTGCTGTCCTTGATGGATGAACTACGCTGACCTTCGATAAAGACCCTGATGAGCTTGCCGTCACTTTTTGTTCCTCCACACATCAGTTCTCACTACATAATAGGGGATATCGAGTTATAATGGGGAATTCGGGGGTTTCCATAGTTGATTTATTCGATGGATTTCATCGATTCCTTACATGCAGAAGTAGACGATATATCAGGAAGTCTTCCACACTCTGATGATCAGTGGGAGCACACCGGGTTCATGGACATTCTATGTGGTATGCCCGTGCAAGCTCCGCCACCTCAATCACCCTTAGTCTCTCCTTCCTCGCATAATGAGTTGCATAGAGTCTCGGCCAGCCAGGATGATACTTTCCTCGAAGTTTTGACTGGTGAAAGTACGACGACACTTGAGCATCGCACCGTCGATCCCGTATTACTGAAGACGTTCCCAAGATGGTATTACTTGGAACAGCACACACAACCGACATGTGCTATATGTATGGAGGAGTTCATACCAGCATGTCTCATGCGAACATTGCCGTGTTTGCATCATTTCCATGTTGACTGTATCGATCGGTGGTTGCTCGAAGAGAGCTCAGAATGCCCCTCATGTAAGACTGATTTCGGCAGTGGGTGGTCGTTGGATCAAAGCTCTCGTGATATACGAGAATGTGGTACATGAATTCTCATTATGCCCTTGCGTTGTCAGTAGTGGAAACCATTAGAGGTGCGATTGGTAGGGGCAGAGTCATTCAGAGTGTGTCGATGCTACCAATTCTTCGCCAAGTGACACTCGTGATAAAGTCTTTCGGACATGGTGATACGGAGAATAACTCAACTCCTGTGGACAGCAGCGATAAGAATATGTTAACTGGCATCGATCATCACCACCAGTATCACAATTATAAGCAGTAGCAGGATCAGTAGTGGTAGAATGAGCATAGTCCAATGTGTATACATAACAGTGATGATGATGGCATTGAATAACGGTATAGTATATTATCATAGACGATGATGGTGGTGACGGTAGTTGTTGGTTGTTACTATTGTTATTGTCATGCTAGGTACAACAACAAGGAGGAATGGTTTTCTATATAATCATCACGAAGAGGCACAACAGTTGCTATGATGTGTCTGTATCTGCTGTCCTCCACTTGTTGCCCCTTCTAACTGTACTCGCATCCGCTCTTGTTGTTCTTCTATTGATGGAGTGTCCGCTCCAGCCCGTAATGGTGTTGGCTTTGACGAGTTAACCTGATAGGTCCTCAGCAGCATCACACAGTGGCTGTTGGTAGCTGCACCTTGTATAGTTCGGGAGAATATACACAAGCTCTACTAAGCTCAGTTCACTATGTGCGACATCGTGATGAGGAGAAATATTCGAGGATACATCGAAAAACTATCGCGGATTTTTCAGGCATTTCTACCTCAATTCGTATGTTAGTTCGGTTGATACAGTGAAGAATCTACTGACCTCCCGAGGTGAACGCGCGGATACCTTGTATATATCCTCTAGGATCTCCTGGAAGGCCTCCTCCACATTAGTCGCCTCCAAAGCACTGGTCTCTATGAATAGGAGATCGTTGTCGGTACAAAACTTCTTTGCCTCATCTTCCTCGACCGCTCTAAAAACAACCTCAATCCTACCTGCCTGCCTTGAATGTAGATGTTCTCACCTCAAATGGGATAGATCACATTTGTTGCCGACTAGCATGACCACGATATCACTATCTGCATGCTCACGCAGTTCCTTCAACCATCGTGCAGCGTTTTCGAATGATGATCTACTCAATTCCACCACTAATTGTAATTAATGTGTATGTATTCTTACCGTTTGGATATATCGTAGACGAGTAGAGCTCCGACGGCACCTCGGTAATACGCTGATGTTATGGCACGATAACGCTCTTGGCCTGTGAATGGTAACATAAACATGAACACAGTGAATAATGATACCCACCCGCTGTATCCCATATCTGAGCCTTCACCACTTTCGAGCCTATACGGACCTGTATATTCATATGATACGTGCATGGGAGTAATGATGATGATCCTACTGATTTGGTAGCGAACTCTACGCCAATGGTAGACCTAGACTCCAGATTAAACTCTCCTCGTGTGAATCGGCTAAGTATATTAGATTTGCCCACACCACTGTCACCTGAGGTGGATATGGAAAGGGAGTTCTCCAATGCGAGGCTGTTGCTCACCAATTAACACGACTTTGAAGAGGTAGTCGTAGTCTTCCTCTGCTGTCGGATTCTTACTAGGCATGGATATGCTACTGGGTGAAAACAATCGACTACAGCATAGTGATGACCTCTCCTCAACACAACGTGTTAGTACAAGGAAAAGGGAGACAAGGCATGCAACAACAAGACAGATAATGATGGATAGGGACATGGTTATCAGTAGCTAACGAGACTCTATTACCAGGGAGCTCGACAGAGAGCGCGGCTATCATGGGGTGATGAGACACCTCAAAATAAGGAGGGAGGAAGTGTTGGTAATAGATACTGAAAGGAACTCAGCGCCAGCACCTCCATACCCACACAGACTACATCCGATTGTAGCCAATCGGCAGCACTCGTAGCATGTACTATCATCATCGTCCACACCCATAACATACCTGTTACTACTAACGAACGGCACGAATACCACTACCGAGCATGCCGATGACATAATCACCATCAAACGTCTAACTAAAGTTAGCAATCCACCAGTAAACGCTCTAAGAGTGGTTTAGGAATCATTTCAATTTCCGGACTTGAGGTGTGCATGGTGTCCGACTGTAGTTGGATATAGCAGGGTCACCTAGCCGATGATGATAACATACTTTAGAGCTATAGCCTTCGGTACTGAAGTGGATTACCGATGGATACGACACGTAGACGACCCCTGGTCACCGCATCCTTGCCGCGATGATATCAGCAAGTGGACAAAGGTCCAATAAAGTATACCGCCCTTTGGTAGTAGTACCATCACTATTGGCAGCTGGAAAGTCATGACACGAATGTTAAATCCACTGTAACACTGTATTGCTACCTCCGTCACAGAAAGCACATCGAACAGTATCCCAAAAGCGACGTATATGGACCAACGTGATAGTACCTATGCTCCGTTCAGGAAGGAATGGTATGAAAAGCCATCTTATCGCCTCTCGAACAATTCTCATAGTCCCCTGCCATTTCCTAGAACTGGCGAGTAACACAAGTAATCATGATACCGCTGGTGTAGGCAAGAAGGTTGTGGAGAATGAGGCGGCAGCGGCGGCGGTCAGCATAATGATGAATAACTACGAGGGTTTAGGAAGTGAAACAACGCAACGTTGGAACAGAATGTAAGGTAAATGTCATAATATTAATGATAGTTTGAAACAGAATGTGTAGTTAGTGCAGTACTAGCACATCACGGAGAATTGCTTGTATCAATCCAGCTTATCGGACTGCCGAAGCTTGTCGAGTATCTAAATAGTATCATCACCGATGACCACCTACATCATCATTATCAGTAGTACCACTGCAGAGCTAGTATCCTCTATCTCACCATAAAGTAATAGGTCATCCATTATGTGATACACCTAACCGTAATATTAATGATGATAGCAAGTTGCTATTAGCAACAGTGGTATCATCACTGTTATTATTACCTTATCAAAATGAAACACCAAATCTAGCTCGCATACATTACCAAAGTAGCCGTCTAATACCTCAACGAGTAGGTGTATGAGCTCTAATACACACATCTAAGGATGATGGATACGGGATAGATAAGGTGCTGTTAGCAGCGTACCTCATTATCATTGACATCCACACAGAAACTGAAGAATAGGCCAGCATACCGACGATAGATGACTTTATAATTACGATACTCTAGGAAGTTGGTAGACCTGCATTAGGCCGACTCATGTACCGTCCTAATACTGAGTATTGTCATCATTACCGCTTATCCCTAGATACCACAGCCCGGTGTATCTCCCTCTCTACCTTATTTTTCTGAGCTGCATTGTACGGTACATACCACTTAGAAAGACGCGTCTTCCCTTGCCTATTCTGCACCAATACAAACCGTATCATCGATAAAAGCAGCAGTAACAACAACCTAAAAACGAGGCGCATCACACCGCAAGACCCAATGAAATTTTTTGGCGGTTTTGCGCGCGCCACAAAATTCCGCTGCGGCAGTTCAGCCACAAATTTATGATCCTGGCCACAAAATTATTGCATCGGCGACTAATCGTCGATGGTCGAAGTCACTCCGGCTCAGCGCTTGGAATGTCTAACAGTTAGACTCTAACTCAGAAATGCTCTTATCGCGAACTTACAAGTTGTAAGTTACAACCGGCTCTCTTCTTGTAGTGTGGCAGCCACACTGTGGCTATGCTCAGGAACTGCAGATGTAGTGAAATAGAACCTCCCAGTAGTTGTCAAGTTGACAATGTCAATTATAATAGGCGGGTCCTGCCAGCGAATTTTTATCTTGTTCGAATCTGCATGGACCCTTCGAACTCGAGTATCGCCCAAGCTAGTAGTACTAGCCTAGTACTTCAAAACAACCCCGCCATTTTGGAGAAAGCTGTCAACGAAGCTGCTCAAGAGGCAATGAAGAGAGTCTGTGAAAACGGCGTGTCCCATACGGAGGAAGGCCCGGCTGGCCCGTCGAGCTGTCCCGAAGCCCAGACGACTCGGGACCACCGCGGTCCAGGCACCAACAACGAGCTCGCTAGCAGCCAAGTTTGCAGTTCTATCTATCGTCGACGCAGAGGCGCATCTGGCCAAATACGCCGGGTCGAGCCGGGATTGAAGATGGTTCTCAACAATAGCTACCAAAGAAAGCGCATCATCAACGGTACGCGTCGCTACAGGTGCCCTCGCGCTCGATCCGCTGGATGGAAACGGTGCAGCTTCACAATGCTGATAATGACTGGGTCAGATGGTTCGCGGATATGGCGGCAGCGCAAACACCCCATTAACGCCAAGTATGGCGTGGTTTCCCAGCCCAAGCTGTCGGGAGAAGTGAAGAAGTGTGAAAGTTGGCAGTGTCCGGTTGCCAGCCATAGAGCACATTCCGTTATCCCCGAGAACGAGGATACCTACCTCCAGGACAAAATGTCATGATGAAGATCTATTACCTCAGGCAACGAGCTTTCAAACATAACGAAGGTCGACCGATGCCAGGAGGGTCTCTCACAGAGATAGCGGCGCTTCGCCGTGAACGACAAGAGATGATACCGCACGGGGAAAGTAGAGATGAAGTCACAGCCCGTCTAACTCATCGCCTAGGGTAAGTCACGAACACTACTGCCGAGCTTGAATAGGAGTCGAAACGCAGTAATTCGAGCACTACGATCCCTGTAGCCAGGGCACCCGGTTATTTTGTATGATATTCAGTTTGTAATTTTTTACATTCAATCTATATTACGGCTTGGTAACAATGGCCGCTGTTCTAGCATGGCTTACCCTTCCGCAATGCCCAGTTCGTCCCCTCAACTGCGTAGGAAAGCCTGGATACCCGAGGGTCCAATTGTAACTTCGCAGTGGAACCAGGTACATTTCTTGGATAACCAGTTGTCGCGGAAGTATGCGGCCGCAGTCTCCCAAAGGTCCAACCCTGACTGCTCCAGCGAACAAATCATGGAACGGGCATATTTATAGAAACTCACGTCGTCGAGGAACATCTCAACCAGATCATCTCCATTTTCCTTAGCTTCTGACCGCAACATCGCCTTGAGATGAGCTCTCAATGCTCTCTTCATATGGACGTGGCAATGCAGCCGGAAAGTTCCCTTTGTGGTGCCGTTCGCTGGCCAGCGTAGGTCGGGTCACCCGACTCGGGTGTGAGATGGTTGCCTTGAGTATCACCATGAACTTATGTATTAATAATACAGTTTTATTTCAGTGTTTTAGGTTACAGTTCCGAAACCTAGTATCACTTATAGAATATCGGTAATTATGTTGGATAATCTCAAGTCGAGTCATAAATTCACAGCAGTGTCTCAACTATAGCATACACACTCATCTGCCTACAGTTGCAAATTGCAATATACAAAGTTCGCTACAGATACCCTGTTGCAATATATATCCGCTTACCTCAGCTGAGCTCAGAAATTCGCTCACTGATTCAACGAGTTCATATATGACTACACTACGAAATACTACGATAATAAACTCGTACAATACGAGTTGGGTTAGAAGTGTACAGCAACCAACAGGAAGTTTTCAAAATTTGCTCATAGTTTCATACTATCACCAAGGCTGACGACGTACAAAGTTAATCACAATGCATGGCAGACTACTTCAAACGATCGCTACCCGCTCTTGGCAGAGATCGCAACGCTTCAGAAAGCACGGCACGCTTTCATTTATTCAAGAACGGACGAGATACTTTTGGGGGAAGTTGAGTCGCACTTTGTGGTGCGCACGAGCAAAATCATTGATTTCAATCAGCCGCTGAGTCCGATCTATGTATGATACCTAATCATGATTCAAGATTCAAATTTATACTCTACGGTTGATTCAGAGTGTTTGGCACTGAGTCAGAGTATTTCATGATGAAATCCCAACTCTGACTATCTAATGTTGGTGAAAATCCCACTCAAATTCATCTGAAGTCCATCTAAGTGGGGTTTACACAACCAGTTCTGAGTCAGAACTTCTGACCTCAATCAGCAGTTTTGCTCCGCTGCTCAGCCTGAAAAGACTTGCATTTTTCTCACGAACAATTTCATCGCCTTCATGCAGCAGATCATCTGCTCGGTGTCCTGGGCGGGCAAATGCCTTATGAAAAGGCCGAAGAACCAACGTCCAAGGCACTAATGTCTGTAAGGCCAGACACCGGCGGCTCCCTCAACCACCATGTTAAACTTGAGACATGCCAGATTTGTTATCTAAGAGTGTTGGCCCAACACTGTTGGGTAGTTGGTTCGGTGAAAGATGTTAGCTAGTTGTTAAGGCAGTTAGCACATAGCTAGAAGCATCCAGTAATAGCTAACATGTTCAAGGATCATCGACTGGTCCACCCGTTTGCCCTGCAGACAGCTGCTCTCGAGTGAAACCGACGACATCAGGTCCTGATGATCAGGACTTGATAATCGAATTACAGGCTAAAGAATGCAGTTGTCAGCGATGGGCTGTCTTCCCGAACCGTCCATGTTGGACGCGGTGTTACCATGGTAGCTGTGCCTATGCTGCACATACTAAGCGATGATCTGCTGTACATCTCCGCGGGACAACATAGGCCTCCTCATTCAGCTGCCCAACTCGCGACTCTAGCCTTAGCGTTCATCAAGAGAGTGCCGGAGATACAAATATCCCCATTCCTTTATCAGCAATTTAAGAACTAATAACACGGATCAGAGTTATCGTTCGGGTTCTAGCCACCAGTAGTCGAGAGGTTCTAGCAGCTAACCAAAAGCGAAGACTGACTGCCCTTTCAGAGGCAGTTCCATATGGTATTCGGTATATTTTTTCTGTTGCGTCGTTGCTTATTATTGCCCGAACAACAGAGGCTATCAGATGAGGGTGATGAAGATGGAGATGTTGTTGTTGGTGGTGGTAGATGATTACTTGAGAGGTACACAGATGCCGTGGTTCGGGATGGAGTTAGACACCTCACAGCCCGTTCCTGAAGACGAGTTTGGACCCATTCGGAGGCGGAGGCAGCTACAGTAATAATAGTCATAGGGGTAGTGCGTTCACCGAGGGGGCATGTGAATGTAGGTATGAAATGTCGATGTCCAAGTGTGCTGTTACCGAGGAGAAGTGAGGAGGAGGTTCTGATGATGAATCATGTGTGCACAATATTGATCCCATTTGATTTTTTCCCAAGTTACAATTTTACCCTTTAGATGTTGTTAGTAGTTTACAATGTGAACTTTACATATGCATATACAGTATATGATATACTCACATACGCGACATGATTATCCACCAATTAAAGCATGCACCCTCAAGTAAAACGTGCTACACCACAGCATAACCCTAATATATTACATAGTCGAATAGAAGTATTCAGTGAGGAAGGATCAGCGACAAAGCGTCCATGCTGAAGCTCGGCCATACTATTATTATCCCTCGCCATGGTAACGTACGAGAACATAGATTACTGACGATCATGGCACAACAAAGGCATCCACCAAAGATGGGTAAGACGAGTGACTACCGGAATTGACCGAGCAGTCTCCTGGCCAGACGAAACATGATATAACACATAATCTTATGTCCGCTTGGGTGACAAACCCTATGTATTACAATAGAATCAAAGCCCAGCCGTTCTCGCACGAATTGATTATCTCCGCAATAACGACAAGTCGATGTTGCTATCTTGGGATGGCTGAACTATTTCACCTCCCTTTCCGAGGGAGGGGTTCCCCCCCACCTCCGCTCATACCGGACGTGCTCCTCATACATGTAGTGGGACTAATCCAGAAGCCGTCCAAAACATTCCCTTGCATTCCTGACGCCCTCCTCATTTTACAATAAACACAACGCAGCGTTATTCCTCGGTATCCAAGAGGCTAGGCACCACCGAAACTCTGCTGCTGTAGATTGTTGTGCATTATCCCGATAAGACTGGTAGTGGCTGCTTAGTTACCAATGTGAAGACGGCGCTTGGCGAACTGCTTCTTGGTGAACTTGACAATCTACAAAATAGAATGTATACTACGAAATAATTAAATCCTCATGCTATACTACCCTGGTGGACTCAGCAGGCTTCTCAACAGTCTCATCATCTTGCTCGAAGATGAACTCGATGTTGGCAGGAGAGCTCATGTAGGGTCCAATACGACCATGGGCACGGTAGGTACGACGACGACCCCTCTGGGCCTCGTCGACCTGGACGTGAGTGAGAGTCATACTCTCAGCATCAACACCCTTATAGTCGGCATTGGCCTCAGCCTGACGGAGGAGACCAAGGACGACCTTGCAAGACTTGGTAGGCCAGCGACCCTGAGTAGCCTTGAAGGCCTTAGCCTGGGCAGTACGGCCGACACCACCACAGAACTTGCGGAAGGGAACAACCTGTTTGTGCTCCATGACATCCTCAAGGTAACTGAACAACAAGCATACGATACATCCTAAAGCAATGAGCAAGAAAACGTGTAGTAAATATTACGTCTGAGCAGCCTTGAGGCCCATACCCTTGATGGCCTGACACACCTCATAGGTGTTCTTGTAGTGAACACGGATATCAGATCCACGGACACGGACAGCCTTCGCGGGGTTACGAGGTTCGTAAGTATAACGCATAGTTGTAGCAGAGCCTTAGCCACAGAGGAAGGTTGAGAAAACACCACCACGGCTTCTTATGAGTCTCATCGATCACGCTATGCAAGTAGCGCGCGCCTGACAAAATAGTGGGATTCGACCCTTACTGAGCTTCTCCGTGAATAGACTCACACTGTGGGTATTAAATGATGAGTAACGGTCCTACGGAGCGAGCTTTGCTTGTAGTTGCTAAGATAACGCGAACCATTACTTTAGAATATCCTTTTGTGGACCTTTAGATTCTTTAAAACTTTGTCATGATAGAGCAACAAGAACAATACAAGGGGCCTGTAGGGGTTAGAGTAAGTGGTAGACGGCACTACTCTAACCTACCTGTAGTGTCACCACGAGCAGCAGGAGTCTCCAGCAACCGAATAGAGTGGAGCCCTATACAAGTAACTATTAGCTGTAAGTTGTCAAACTCCACACAACCATAACTCGAATCATGCTGAATGTGTTGTTCGCTAAAAGGACTACAGTGCTAAAGTGCTACACCCATTTGGTATTCATCAAGGAGCTATAATAACATTTACTGCTTTTTCAGTGGTTCCAGTACGGTTGGGTAGATGGTCCCTTGCTGAGGCCACCCGAGGGCAAACATGGCCTATGAGGGTATCACTACTGGAATATCTTCGTTTACGTGGCCGCTCTCTCAGTGTCTATCTCCAGAGGTTATGGATGCATTGAAACGTCGTGGTGGGGCTTTGTGGGAACGGAAGTGCCGTATGTGTCTCGATGTGCTGCAGGACTCTGTAGTAGTAGTAGTAGTAGTAGTAGTAGTAGTAGTAGTAGTAGTAGTAGTAGTAGTAGTGTGGGGCTAGGGGCGGCATTCTATCTCTTAGTGTCCTCTCGGTGCCCTCTGTCCGTGCCAAAGAGCTCAGAAACGGCGAACAACTCGCACCTCAAGATTACAGAGAGCAATACCGTGGACGGTAGGTCCCTTGTTAGTCGTTGTGTGCAGGGTAAGATATGAGGGTATGGGGGGTGTTCGCTTAGGATTCGGATTGGCCACCTGCTTCTGCTCAAACCATCGGGTCGGATGGGCCAAATGAGGCAGAGAGGGTACTTAGAAGGCAGCCACACCTGACAGAGGAGGAGGGGGATGGGCCAAATGAGGCAGAGAGGGTACTTAGAAGGCAGCCACACCTGACAGAGGAGGAGGAGGGGCATGGGCCAAATGAGGCAGAGAGGGTACTTAGAAGGCAGCCACACCTGACAGAGGAGGAGGGGCATGGGCCAAATGAGGCAGAGAGGGTACTTAGAAGGCAGCCACACCTGACAGAGGAGGAGGGGCATGGGCCAAATGAGGCAGAGAGGGTACTTAGAAGGCAGCCACACCTGACAGAGGAGGAGGGGGATGGGCCAAATGAGGCAGAGAGGGTACTTAGAAGGCAGCCACACCTGACAGAGGAGGAGGGGCATGGGCCAAATGAGGCAGAGAGGGTACTTAGAAGGCAGCCACACCTGACAGAGGAGGAGGGGCATGGGCCAAATGAGGCAGAGAGGGTACTTAGAAGGCAGCCACACCTGACAGAGGAGGAGGGGCATGGGCCAAATGAGGCAGAGAGGGTACTTAGAAGACAACTCCATCATGTGGTAGGAGTATCACAGTGATTAGATAGGAGTAGTATTTCCAGGATTCTACGGAAGTCGAAGTTGAATCAACGCAGCTGGCATCGTTAGAGGCATCCGATGGTGATCAATAATCATCATCATCACTTACTGTCTTATAAAGACAGTTGCATCATCTGGTAAGGCGCCCAACATGGTAGTAGATGATCATATTGCTGCTGCTGCTGTTGCAGTTCAGGAGTGTATGTCCTCCTTACAGTGGTGGTGGTCTTTACTGTGAGATTTGTTATCATCCATGAGGCACCTTAATTGGCATCCGATCATCTTGTTATGGGAATATAACCACAGCATGGCCTTGTTGTGTTAGTTAGTGATAACGGGTCTAGACTATCACTTCCTCCTCATTGCCGTTGTTCATACCTTTAGGAGCGACGTGAGTACTGACATCATCATCCACCACTACCCACGACGGTATTGTTGTTGTTCATAGTGTTCATGTGCTTCCTTGCTCACAATGACCAGTTCAACTGCGGACATCTCTCCAGCTATTTCTGGTGGTAGGCCATACATACCACCTCCTTCCTGGGCTCCTTACTGGCTCTTGCTCTAATCTTCAGTAGCTGAGCATGGAACTACTGAGAAGGATAAAACCAATACAATGAGAAATAATCATGGACATGTAATGGTGGTTATTATCGAATAACTATCTACTTCATTCTCAGAGGCTGAGTAAGTTATCAACACACTCGGAAGCTCCCAATATCATGGCTTTCACTTCGCACATCACTCCTGAGGGACGGCCCAATGGTCTTACGGCCAATCAACGATCACGTTTATCGCGTCGTCCAATAGGGCCTAGTGACATAGCGATCTATAAAGACTACACTTATTGGATGAAGATAGTGTAGGATACTAGGATACTCTCAATGCTACTATTCTCGACGATAGTATCCCAGATTCTCTCTTGGAGTGGCCCAGCTGTTTCTAGAAGCTGGTATTAGAGCAGCATTGCTGGTGGAGGGTTCAATGTTCGGCTCAATAGCCTATCTGGCACATTTCCTCATGTAGTGTACATGATGTAGCACTCACACAACTTACTATTACTACTACATGTTAGTCGTGTCTACTCTACTCCCTAATTAGATACGCTGCAGAAGTGCCTATATGCTTCACCGTGGCCCCGATGATATATCGATGGTTCGAGCTCCATACACAGGCTAAGTTCCTCAGCTCCCTTGGGACTCTGTTCATTGTAATCTATATGTAATATTGAATTATTGTATAGAGGGACAGGCTACACTTGTTGGTAGTTATCAACTGGCTTATGCTACCAATTATCCAGAGAATACACCAGCCAATTCACCGTGGTATCTAGTAACAGCAATTCTGGTTGGTATTATGTACCCTCTCGTAGAGATTACTAATTATGCTATTATAGGGCGTTGTGGGTAAGACTGCTACGACTACTGCACGACCCAGCAGCAGCAGTATCATCATCATTGTTCGCCCTTACAAGGTACTTTGAGTGCCGTGATCCTACGCGCCCTTTAACTCTAGAACATAGAGCTCAGCAGCGAGATGATGGGGAGGATAGGTATCATCGTCATCATCATCATCATAGCAATGGCGACGACGACGACGATACGCAACATGGCTTGCTGGCTGGAGTACAGCGTTGCATTGATTTCGTCACAATCGCGGATCCCTCTCAAACTACATGGCACGATGCTATTGGATTCAAAAAAGCACTCGGAAAAGTCTTATCAAAGTATGGTGACACTATTTCCTTATACCCTATCGTTCCCCATGGAACTTAGGTTCTTCGCCATTTACTTCGCCCTATTCGGTGTCTCGGGAATCATGATTCTAATTCTGGGTTCATTAGTTTTACCCAACGTTACTGTCAGTACCACGCTTAATGAGTGAGCAAAGGAGGCATCATCAACAGCTGTTGTATACAGATTGTATCTCTTATCACT